CACAGTGCTGAGAACACACACTGCTTCCTTTCATCCACACGTCAGTCCTCGCAGGCAAGTTCATGCTCGCATTAGCTCGCACACTCGTGCAGTGTTTAAACCAGCGGTTCCCACAGGCCAGGCACAGTGACTGGTGTTTGGACGCAGGGGGACAGAGAACGACAATCCAGGCTCTTACAAATGTCATCTTCACAGACAAGGAAACGGACTCTGAAAGATCCGCTGCCTCTCGTGAGACACTCAGCTCCTAAAGAGAGAGGCTGGGACTGCATTGCCTGCGCTCTCCATCTCAGCCCCGTACTTCTGCTGGACACGCTTTATGGAAGCAGGTCTACTGTAAATGTATCATTGCAGCAACGTCACTGGCACTGCGAGCAGCCCCGTCTCTCTTGGCTTTCCCTTACCTGTGGGAACAGATCCAAGGCGTTGACTCTGCTGAGCATTGCCAAGACGAAAGCAGCCGTTTTTCCCGTTCCCGACTGGCTCTGCGCTATGAGGTTCTGGGGTCTGTAGACAAGAGGAGACCACTGGATGTACAGCGAAGACAAGAGCCTGGGCATGAACTGACCACCAGAGACTAAAAGGAACCGAGTGGGACACCACCGCCCTGGAAACTCACGGGTGCGCCAGCATCATAGGGAGAGCCATCTCCTGGATTTTGGAGGGTCTGTTAAATCCCATTGCATAGATCCCTTTGAGCAACTCTTCCTTTCTGTCAAACAACAACAACAAAATCAAACACTTAAAGCCCGTGATTGGTCCGTAGCCTCAGAAATACGAACCTGAAAGGTTCATGTCCAAATAAAGCCATTCTGTAGCTCAGCTTCAAAAGTGATATCTAGAAATACATAATTCGCACCTCAACTCCCAAACATACACAACCACGCTTGTAGAACTGGACCCCTAAAAAATGTCCTGGAGATTGATACACACCAGGAGAGTTTTCTTTCCCACCTAGGCAGAAAACTATGGGAGGTTATTTCATTCTTTTTAATGAATGATAAACTTTGATGTTTTAACAGCTATTTCCAGAGAAGACAGAAATGTATTTATCTATGAAACCTAACCGGGACCAGAAGACACCCTCAGCTCCTCCTCCTGCACCAGCCCATTTGAACGCTCCTCTCCCTGTGTCTCTCAGTGACATTGGAAGGAGGGTGAAGTGAAATGGCTGGGACGCTTCCACCTTCAACAACCTGCACATTTTGGATGCGCTTCATTGGCAGACTAATTGGTAGATTACCGGCAGCCAACTTTTCATCATAGGCAAGCTTCCCCTTCAATCTGGAAAATGTCCAGGCATTAGGATTTTGGATCCTTCCCCTTTACGAAAGTCCCCATCAGTAAAATACACTTCCTTAATGCCAAGTGATAAATCCCTACGAAATGCAAAGCCCTCTGGGAACGGTATTCATTTTAATGCCCGTATCTGGGTTCTGGTATGGAGAGTAGTGACATGGCTATGTCTGGCCTCACGATTTCCCTCTGCACAGGAAGATTAAAACACTTCATCACAAAAAAAAGTTCTCTCTTTGCTGAGCAAGGCAGGTATCCTAGTGTTCCTCTTTGAGCTGGATTTTAATTGACTGCAAAACGTACATGTCTCGTTTTAACATTACATATTCGAACTGGAGAAACCCTGATGGTTTGGTTACTGGCGGTCAGTTTGCTTTCCAGCATTTCCCACTGAAGAGCGAGAATACTTACAGCCGCAGCTCTTCAAATGTCTTCACGGAGTAGAGTGGAGACTTGGGATCCTTTTGTAAGACTTCGACTTTGTGGCTGGATTCTACTAAGGACTGCCGGAGTAACTTGTTTAAGAGTGAATTAGCTGCCAAATCCACTAGAAAAGCAAGAAGAAAAAAACAGGAGCATTGCAGGGGGGCTCAGGCTTCCTGAATGACACCTAGTACGTTGCTCTGTCCAATTCAGTGGTGTGTACTGAGTGCGAATTGCTCCTACTCTCGTCTTTCTTCTAAATAAGTTTCCAGAGCCCTGCTGGGCATGGCTCCGTGGGTTGAGCATCATCCCACAAAACCAGAGGCTGACCGTTTCATTCCCACTCAGGGCACATGCCTGGGTTGTGGGCGTGGCCCCGCTGGGCTGCGTGCAAAGAGCATCCGACTGATTTTCCTGTCCCTCTCTATCTCCCTCTCTACAAGTAGATAAATAAAATCTTTTCAAACATATTTTAAAAACATAAATAAGTTTCCAGAAAGAATGACATAGCACTGAGAGTTCCTTTTTTTCTCTGGAGGATCCAGTTTCTTAACACTCTGCTGCTGCACCAACCTCTAACTTCAACAAGCCCATGGCCATCAGTACCTCGCCCACTGAAAATTCTTAACCCATTGCTATGAATTTCATTTCAACATCCTCTAAGAAATACGCTCCACTCCTAAGTCAGTATCTCTCCTGATATGCACTATTTATAGAGAAAACAGAGGCAAAGCCACCAATCGAGATCACGGTGTTCACCTCACGAGGCTCATGGTGCAATGGAACAATGCGAGTAGATACAGGCAAATGAACTGATCTCTTACCTACATCTTCCTCGTCTTCTTCTGTGTTATTAATGGAATAATCTAAAAGGATGGGAGAGAAGCAATAAGTGTAAAGATACGTGCCCGGCAGAAATGTAAAGTACTTTATGGCAATTTCTCTTTCCGAGCCTACATGTGCCCTGACAGGGTCGCCCGGTGGAGGGGTGGGTACAAAGACTGGGGAGGCGGTGGAGGGCCTTGAATGTTCAGTCAGGGCAGCCAGATGTGTTTCAGTCGCCGGCAACGTGAGGGGAGCAATGCTCGCGAATGGAGGCCCGTCAGCCCTTCCCTACAGCACTTACTTAGGTCTGGGACTGTAGTCGTCCTCATAGCCTGAGGGTCCTTCTGGTGGGGGATGAAGTTTGAAAACTATTGAAAGACACAAATTTCAACCAGCATTAGGAAGCAAGACCTCAAGCAGCACGGTGCTCCCCGTAACAGGGGCGGGCTGGAAGGAGTGCGGGAAAGACCCGCCCAAATATTTGTTCCCTGTGTGATGTTAACGTATAAATGGCTTCCTCTCAGGAGCAGGTCTTCTGTGTGAATTACCCTGAAACTGGAGACTTTTTGCTGGCCCTGTTGGTGCAGGCCCTCTAGTCTAAATGTGGCCATGGGGGGGGGGGGGGGGGGGGTAACACAATGGGACTACGTGACCAGGAAAGCGCGTGGTAGATAGATGGAAGGAAGCTAGGCCAGGCTTAATGGTCAAATGGGGAGAGTAGAAAACTCGGGGTCTGCTTGGGACAACCAGCTGCTTTCCCTTCAAGGACATACCGGTGTCTTCATTTTACCCTTTCAAACAAGAAATCTTTCTCTCTGGGTCTCCCTTTTTTGGCGCCTTCTTCCAAGTCCTTGCCACTCCACATCTCCCTTCCACCATTAGGTACCCCACTCCCCATCCCCAAAGCACCCCATAGATTTCCCCTGGGAGTTCAGTCCTAGCCCCCGCCCCTCGGCCCTACGGTCGGTGGCGGTTACTTGGCTGTTTACATGCTCGCTCTCCGCCGCCCCTGGGTCGCCTCTCCAAAGTAACGACGCCATGGCTCGGATCACCGCCGTGCCCCCAGCACGTGCCTCCGCCGTGGCGAGGAACGTCCGGCCTCACCCTTCGGCCAATGAGCTCCCTCCAGGGGCAGGCGCCACCAGCGGTGCAGCGCAAGCGCCTGGCTCTAGCTCCCCGGAGGAGGGGAGAGGAGGGGGAGGGGGGAGAGAGGTCTCCGGGAGGAGGGGATAAGCGTCCCGAGAGGAGAAGGGTCTTTGGGGAGCTCAGGAAGTCCCGGTGAGGAGGAGGGGCTGCGGGAGAACCTGTCCATCATCCAGGCTGCTCCTTGACCAGCCCCACACCGCGCCAGGTGGGGAAAGCTGGGGAGGGGCACTGTCGCAGTGGACATCTGCCTGCTGTTGGCCTCTGATAAGACGAGAACAGCTTAGATCTCTGAGCAGTCTCGATCTTCCTACCTACCTCCCTTACCCCACCACTCACTCGGCAGGTAATTCTCTAAGTGTTCGGGTTGGACCCCTGCCCCGCTTCAAGCTCTCAAGCCCACGTTTCTCCCCAGATTTCCACTTCTACGTGACGAGAAGTCAGAAAGGCTGGGAATTGCTAGGGAAATGGAGGGCCAAAATGGATACGTTTCGTCTGGCAAATGAATTCGAATGCGAAAGATGTGGAGAAGTCGAGTCGTTTAGCTACTAACTTCCATCCCTGTTCTTAAATGTCCGAGATGCCTCCACAGGCTGGTTTATTTTAATTCTGATTCTGATGTGTGCCCCTTGCTAAAGCAATCCTCAGAAGACTACTCTTGAGAAGACTGCAGCCTCCACCTCTTATCTCCACTGCATAATTGGGATAGATTCCTTCTATTACTGACTGCTGAACTTGGACAAGAACCAGATGGTCCCCCGCCCCGCCCCAGTTTTACTAACTGGAAGCTTGAGATTTAGATCAGTCTCTACAAAACCTACCAATCTAACAACAACAACAACAAACTAGTCATGCTCTCTCCGTGGTACTGAAGCTACACTTCCAACCACCGTTAGTCACTTGCAGGTTCCTCAGTCGTTTGTTTTGGGTGTACAATAATCCTTTTCAGCGCTTACATATAGGTTCTAGTAGTAAAAAAAAATCTTTGACTCGCAATGGTAACTTTCTACGAATTTAAATAGGTGTAAAATTGAGCCAGATTCTTTCATCTTAGTTTTCATACAAGGGTGGAAAAGTTACTTATTATTTTAGCACGCTAGAATGTATCCGTTTATTCTTGCACTGCTCCAGGCTTAGGTGGAGAAACAGTAGCGAGACTAGAAAAACACTAGGCTGAATGCCACGCTCTTGGAACTACATTTCCCACTAAGTGTAACTACAACTCCCATGAGCCCCCGAGAGCGCCCGGGAGACGCAAACTGACAGTTTCCTGTCTCGCGAAAAGCGGCCTGGCCGACGACCGGAAGGTAAGTGTGGGCTTTTAGGAGTGGGTTGTTTTCTGGGTTTTACAAAAGGAATGGACAAATAGTTGGATGTTTCTTTCTTGTGAGCCTCTTTTTCGTACCTTGACCTTTTCAGAAAAGTGCCAGTATATGGGAGTCGGCTCTCGTTTAAGAAGCTGTGTTTGTGTTTAAGTGCTTCTTGCAGCTCCTGGCGGAAACTCGCAGCAGGAGGGTTCTGAGAGGGCCCTTGGACTGTGAATCCTCTGCTGCCTCGGTGAGAATTGTTTGCTCATAAAACTTAATACTATTAAAGGTCGCGATCCCAGGAGGTTGTGGGGTGGAAGGCGTGGTGACAATTTTCGATCGGGGGGATTGCTTTCCTATATTAGTTATCACAAGTTGGTTGGTTTCTGATTCCGTGGGTATTAGCTCTCCTCCCCTCATTGGCTTAAAGTAAAATGTATCATGGGAATGCCCTTTCTACTACTCCACTAGTTATTAATATTTTCGAGACTGAAACCGTCTTGAACTTTTAAAAATGTGTTGAAACTAGCGTGCTGTTTTCGTGTTTCGGGCGATGCTTGGCGCACGCATGAACACCGACCCTCTTTGTGGTAATTTGGCGGTCCCCTTCCAGGAATTAGACGTCTGCCAGGGACCCACCGCACCCCTCCCTGCGAAGGGAATGGTGTGCTAGAGGAAGTACTGTACTGATTCCGGAGTCGGGCTCATGCCCTCCTTTTGCTACGAGCTTTAAGAGCCCGCACCAGACTGTTTCTTTGGTTAAATAAGGGGTTGAACTAGATAATCACTTTTGGAAACTTTCCAATTTGTTAATAATTGGTCTTTGAAATACATAGGGAGTAAATCAGTGGAACGTGGGCTGTAATTTGCATGCAAAAGATGTCATGTGGCTTTTAGCTTCTTAAAAATATATATAAAGTAAAAACTACCTTTAATCCCACTACCCGGTGTTAAGTTTTGAACTTTCTTTGTGCTTTGTGTGTGTGGGTGCAGGACTGAGGCCATACCGCATTGTCTGCAACCTATTTGTTTCACTTAATTTGCATTTTCCCAATAGCTTCCCGTGATTTCCAGTGACTGATGTTCTGTTTAATCGCCCATAGTATAATTTGCAGTTTTAGCTTATTTGCTGTTAATACATCCTACACAGGCATATAGATCTTTGAGCCACTGACTTGATTTCGGTGATAAATGCCTAGCAGTGGAACTGGATGAGTGAATGATGTAGCTTAAATATTATGGAGAAAATCTATTTTAGTAGAGAGGCAAAGATTATTCCTTGACATAAAGTCAGACAGCCATTTTTCTTTGAAAGAGCAAACTATTTCTGCTATCACTCTTCTGTCTTCAGATGTTAAAACTGACAAGTCTCAGTTTGTAGATATTCTTCATTGGAGTGGAATCATCAAGAACAAGAAGATCCAATTTTAGGTGAGCGGAATTTGTGTTTGGTCTGTACATCAATAGGCCGGATTCATTTTGGTATTGCTGCTCCATCCAGTTCCAGATGTAAGCAGTTTGAAGTTCTTTGCAGAAAGGGAATAGCCTTCAAGTGACAGCATAATTTCTAAGACAACCTAGTGGCAAATTATAAAAAGCATGCTATTCTAGAAGTAGCAAGTGGAGGGCAATATATTTAAATATAGAAACAGAACAATCTAGAACTCTGTATGTCACCCAGTGCCGTTGAGCATGTGTTACCAAGCAGATATCAGTATTTACCAATGAAGGTAGCTGTGCTGTTACCCCTCCTCTTCCTTAGGTGTGGGTGTGTGAGGAGCAGGTTTTGCTCCTTCCCTTTGGCTCTCATCATGTAGGGGCAAGAATATGATGGGGAGTATAGTTGGAAGCAAAATCATAACTCAGGTTTGAAATCATCTTACTTTGGGGAGTATTTAAGTAAAAATAAGGGCAAGTCCACAAATGTCCAAAACTCTTTAATGGATAAGCTTAACGCCCAGCAACTTTAAAAACACACTAATAAAAACAGCAACTCACATTGGCCAAAGGTAAACAGTACAGAACAGAAACAGTGCTAGCTGATTTTGCTCACTAATCTGTCAGGTAGGAAGACCAGGTCTATTTTTCTTCCTCTGCTATGACTCCTCTTGGGCTTTCACATTCACTGTTTCTACTTAAATAAAAGGAAAGATGTACAGTACCAGGTTATACCATCATGTGAACAGAGACACAGGTTTTAAAAAAAGCCTTAAGTAGGAGAAAGAGGAAAGGGAAGCTTCCTGGGCATGACACCATTTGCAAGGTCACAACGAATACCCCAGCGAAGGGCAGATCTTTTCTTCTCGGTTGGTACGAGATAATTGTTTGGAACATACATGTGCTGAGGCTTGGGTTGGGGTTCGGCTCTCTGGCAAAGCATCTGTTCTCGGACGCCCCAGCGTAATTCCTTCCTGTGGTCCTCACCTGGTAACCGAATGGAGTCCCAGTCTCGTTTGTACTCAAAATAGCGGGCCACCCGGTCTACCTTGCCCCGGTTTCGGCTTAACTGATCCAGCCTCGGGAGAATAAAGGACTTGGGTCGGCTGGCAACGATCAGATCTTGTTCATAAGCTGGAGGGCCCATCTCTTCTCTTTGCAGATAGCAACTGAGCTGATCTTGAGAAATTCCTTGGTATTCATGTGGTAGATTAAATTTTTCTGGAACATCAACAGAGGACTCCCTGTCTTTCTGGAAGTGCAGGTTCATCAACCTTTGTCTTAAGTCCCAGAGATCCATGTCATTTTCTGTACCAGTCTCTGATTCACTGATAATTGACTCATCTGTTACCAGTACTTCCCCATCCGGCTTCCTTCGCAGCACCTTTCTCTTCATCACTGGCTTCCGGAGCCTCTGGGATGCCTCCGAGACCATGTCTGGAGTGACGCTGCTTTTTGCATGTGGGTGCTGCAGGTGCGCAGGAAGAGCAGGTCGTCTTCCTGGGGTTACTGAAGCTTTGCTGTAGGGATCGTACTGGGTGGACTGGGCCTCTCTCCTGACATCCCCCTCACCCTGCCCTGCACAGATGTGGGTGAAGGCTGTTGCAGCTGCTAACATTCGTTCTTCTGGATCCATACTGGCCCATTTTTGTCCACTAGGTCCCATGAGTTCCTCCATGGCTTCCCCCACACTGTAGGACCTTCTGTAAGAGAAAACTTTGATCAGTTTTCTAATAATAAATTCTCACCCCATGAATCGTTCATTCCCCTTTGTCTATTATTCTATAGCAGTGAAATGAAGGAAGAATGGCTAAGGCAAACATAACTACAAGTTATAGAATAAAATGTAGACGGTACAGGAATCGGGTTTGGGGAGGTAGGGCATTAACTCAGTTCTGGAGAAGCTATTATCTTTCATGTCCACTCTCCTTTACTCCCACCTTCTACTGCCTAGTAGTTCACCTTTAGTAACTGCTAAGATGGGACAGGGGAGTTCTGGCATAATGAGAGCTTGAGACTCTGGGATATGAGGCATAATACTTAATGTACATTATGCACATGTACATAATGTACATTCGTGCTGAGAGGGACACTTCGTGCATCCACTGTTCTGTGTGCTTTACATTCATTAATTCCTGCGATCCTCACAACCGTGGGACAGGCACTCTGTTTATCTCCTGTTCACAGATGAGTAACACAAGGCACACAGACACAAGGTGACTTAGCCCACCGCTGCACAGGTAGTAAGTTGCACAGAATTCCAATGTGTATGGATGTACTGTAATTTAAACTACTCCATGATTAATTTATTTTAGGCTTATAGTCTTTTGCTGTTAAAAAAAAGATTACAGTGAGTATCTTATGAATTCTTACATACTTGTGCAAGCATACATGTATGTTAAATTTCTGGAAGGGGAATAGGTGGGTCAAAAGGCGTGTGTGTGCTCAGTCTTGATGGCTGTTACCAAATGCCCTCTAAAGAAGCTGGACTAATAGCGTGTTACAGAGCTTCTTTCTCCATTGCTTTTCCGATGTGATGAGCTATCAGACTTCCTAGTCTTTGCAGTTTGTGCGTATTTTTTTTTTTAAAAAAAGGTTCTCATATCAATTTGGCATTCATTTAAACTGAATAAAATTCAGCATCTTTTCATATTTATAAGCTTTTACCCCCTCCTCTTTGTGTAAAATGCTTGTTCTTTTCCCACTTACCCATCAGGTTGCTGGGACTTTTGATTATTCATTTTTTATATTAAAACTGATTTATATGTTCATGAAGTTGAACATATAAATTAAGGAACTTATATTAAGGAACTTATATATTAAGGAAGTTGAAATTTGCCTCTTACCATCATTAATTTTTTTCTTCTGACTTTATTTTTTACTGGTGGAAATTCTTCCTTTTAGAGAGTCATATTTTGGTTTTCTACAGTTTCTGGATTTCTGTGGTGTTTAACTTAGAAATGCCTTTACCACTCCAAGATTTTAAGAAACTTATTTCATGTATTCTTCTAGTACTTTTATAGTTTCATTTTTTATTGAAATTTTAATTTTTCACAGAAACCCAAAGGGCAAAAAACTAAATGAGTTACCTAAACTTAGATAACATAGTCAGCCTTAGAGCAGGTGTAGAAATTATCTTCTCTTACTAAAGTAATGATCTGTCTGTCATAGGTTGTCTAGTACCAGTTTTAAGGATGCAGTACAGTTGTCCTCAGATTACTGAAACATGCCAGGAGTTTCAACACTGATATCTAAATTACATCATCTAACTTTTCTAACTGCTAGAGGTACAGAAAACTTTTTTCAAAACGTGCGTTAAATTTGACTTTAAAAAAGGATCATGCTGTTTAGTTACCTTCTTTCTGCCATCAAAATTGCTTAAAGTAGGAAAATCTTGACTCCAGGTTCTACTTCCAATATACAGTACAATCATCGACAGATTTCTTCAATGAGCTTCTATCGTACCACCTTGAAGACAGAACTGAGTATTAGACAACAGTACATACAAGCCACTGATTTTATCTGAGATCCTGAGAGCAACACTCACAGTAGACATATATGTTCTGTATCAAAAGATCTCGATTAGAAAGATGAAACAAATGTAATGAGAAGTCAAAAGGAAATGTCTTGGGGGGAAAATATCAGTAACATTAGTCCTTAATCATCTCAGCAAATGAAAAACAGACATGAAATCTACAATTGATTTTTCTACATTCTATTTAAACCTTAACAATGGTGGCTAAATATTTTTTATATTACTTTCCTTTCCCCTCTGAATTGGCCACCCAGGATGGAAAAGAATAGTATCGGGATGGTCAACCCGTAACAATTAAGGTAATGCTTGTATCCCTGGGAAAAGCAAAAGTCTGCTGAGGCGTTAAATTACATCTTAAACACTATGGGTGTAACGGAAAGCTACTGATGTGACTGGAGGGACCAGCACTGAGTCCTCTTACTCTCTTCGCAGGTGGTGTGGACCCACATGATGCATGTGTTCCTGCGGTTGTCTTATCATGGCTGAAAATGACATGGACAGAATCCAGACCGACAGACTCCTAAAAAGAGTGCAAGAACTGGAGCAGGAGGTACAGAGACTTAAAAAAGAACAGGCCAACACCAAGGACTCAAATATCAGAGAAAGCTCTTCGGGAGCCGGGAAGGCCAAGCGTGCATTTGATTTCAGTGCTCACGGTCGGAGGCACGTAGCCCTGAAGATAGCCTATCTGGGCTGGGGATACCAGGGCTTTGCCAGCCAGGAAAACACAAACAATACAATTGAGGAGAAACTGTTTGAGGCTCTGACCAAGACTCGACTAGTAGAGAGCAGACAGACATCCAACTATCACCGGTGTGGGCGGACAGACAAAGGAGTCAGTGCCTTTGGACAGGTAAGTCGCTGTGCTGTCTCTCAAAGCAGCAACACCGATGTAGTCTAGGTGTCCGTACTGAGGATTCAGATAGTGTGTACCTGTTATCTCCTAACACAGTATCTTTCTCTAATTCCACAGGTGATTTCTCTTGACCTTCGGTCTCACTTTCCAAAGGACAGGGATTCAGAGGATTTCAGCGTAAAAGATGGAGCCAGCAATGCTGCTGAAGAGATCCGCTATACTCACATCCTCAATCGGGTGCTGCCTCCAGACATCCGAGTACTGGCCTGGGCCCCTGTGCACCCGAGCTTCAGCGCTAGGTTCAGCTGTCTTGAGCGGACGTACCGCTACTTTTTCCCTCGCGCAGATTTAGACATCGTGACCATGAACTGTGCGGCTCACAAGTATGTTGGCACACACGACTTTAGGAACCTGTGTAAAATGGATGTAGCTAACGGAGTGATAAATTTCCAGAGGACTATTCTGTCTGCTCAGGTGAAGCTCGTGGGCCAGAGCCTGGCTGAGGACAGCTGGCAAGAACCTTTCCAGTTATGTCAGTTTGAAGTGACCGGCCAGGCGTTCCTCTACCACCAGGTCCGCTGCATGATGGCGGTCCTTTTTCTAATTGGCCAAGGGCTGGAGAAGCCAGAGGTTATTGATGAGCTGCTAAATGTAGAGAAAAATCCCCAGAAACCTCAATACAGGTAAATTTAAAAAATAGTAACAAAACAGCTACTGCTCTAGATTATTTTAAAATATATTCTAACATAGCTTTCTCGCCCCACAATTGTCTCAATAACTAAGTGACTGACTCTTTCTTCAGGAAGCTTTTAGTCCAGTTTCTAGAATGTCATGAACACATAGGAGGGAGCATTATCTTTGAATGAATTTCCTTCTGTCTCCCTTCTATCCCAGGAGCAATAAACAGGCCCTTAAATAAAAGCACATTTGTTTCCGCAGTTTCCCCCTTGAATTTATGTTAAGAGGTATTAGGTTCTGCTAAAGTTAAACAGGGATCAAACTATTCATATTAAATCTCGCTCCCTTTGTATTATGGGGTAGTCATGTATTATGGGGTAGTACCTTGGGATTTTTCCTAATTCTCAGTTGCTGAAATAGCAGAAAAAGTAGGAAACATAGTTGGCTTTCCTTTTGAGAGCAGGCTGAGGTCAGACAGACCAATAATTTGTTCCTAAGCAGTGAAATCTGTAAGTTTTTACCTCATACTACACGAAAGTTTGGAAAAAACACCATCAGCTCTTTTTAATTTTATAGCCAATATGTGGACCCAAGTCAACTCACTTCTAGGTGACCTGTTACCACTGAAATTTACCCCAATATAGATCATGCCTAACCAGTTGACTCTTGGTTTGTTGTCTTTTTTTTTTTAGTGATAATGTTGTGCAAGGTTAGGGATAGTGTTGTATTTTCTTGCCTGTTAGATACTTAATACTGACAGAGTTTCCCCCTTCTTTAAACCCAACTAACCCTGTTTTTCTAGAACTGTTGGGTGGCTGCTGTGTGTTCTTGTACTCTGTTTTGTCTCTCTCTCTCTAGTATGGCTGTAGAATTTCCTCTGGTCTTATACGACTGTAAGTTTGAAAATATCGAGTGGATCTATGACCGGGAGGTTCAGGAGTTCAATGTTACCCACCTGCAGCAACAGTGGGCAAACCAAGCCGTGAAGACTCACCTGCTGTACAGTATGCTGCAGGGACTCGACTCTGTCGCGGTGCCCTGGGGGACAGGTACGACAGGGAAATCGCGGATGAAGTTACTTACCAGAACCACGTTATACAGGGTCATGGGGAGGTAGGTGCATATGAAGACTGGAGGGGATTCTGTGGTGGTCAAGTATCCGTGTAATGACTGACTGTATGTATTGTAGGCACAGAGGTGGAAGGAGTGATAGAATGGAGAAGTGTTAAGCCCCCCGTCATAAAGCACACCAGTGCCTTTGTAGAAGGAGTGAAAATGCGCACATATAAGCCCCTAATGGACCGTCCCAAATGCCAAGGATTGGAGTCCCGGATTCAGCATTGTGTACGTAGGGGACGCATCGAGTACCCGCGCCTAATCAATGAGACAGAAACAAAAGCCAAAAGGGAATGTAACGACACACTAGAGGAAGAAAATACTGCTTTAGAGAAACCAACAAAGAGAGTCTGTGTTGATGAGGAAATTAAAAGTATCATTTAACCACAGGAAACTCACCAGGATCTAGGAGGCAAGGACTAGCTAATGATAGGTGGGTAGAAAGGAAATACCGTATTTACTGCAGGGAGTCCTAGAGCTCAGATGATCAGCTCTTAGAAAAGACGGAAAATCAAGAAAGATCACAGGCCCCATTACAGGAAGTTCTGGCTTGAAAAGCAGATCATCCTCTTATTCCAAAAGGGTTCAGAGATGGAAGAAGCGAGAAGCACACGTGAGACGGAGACTGTTTACACGCACCCGGAAACCTGGGCCCCGTGTGCACATGTATGAAAGCCCGCCTGCAAGTGTCTGATTTGTCATGCTGCCCTTTCAAAAAGCAAATAAGATGTTCACTGCCCATGTGAGTTTGCATAGAGCAGCACTGCCTCAGTGTCTTATTTTCTGGGACAAATTAAACAATGAAATGTAGTCAGTTAAAAGATTTCATTTATTTATTTTTTAGAGAGGGGAAGGGGGGAGAAAGAAGAGAAACATCAATGTGTGGTTGCCTCTCAGACACCCGCTACTGGGGACCTGGCTCAACAACCCAGGCATGTGCCCTAGACTGGGAGTTGAACTGGCGACCCTTTGATTCACAGGCTGGCGCTCAACTACTGAGCCACACTGGCCAGGGCTTAATCAGTTAAATGTCTGATAAACTGGTGTAGTGCCAGGCACAACACTAGGTGACAGTGACTTAACTGAAGTACAGCATCTCCTATGAAGGTTAGCAGCCTGGTGCTGTGTGAGCCACAAGTGGTCTCTGCTGCGTGTTTTTTCTCCAACCTTTTACACGTGTAAAAAACACTGTTAGCCCACAGGCCGTGGAGTTTGTAACCCCTAGCCTAGTGGTTTAAGGAAAGCTCTCACAGAATCCCAGCTAAAGCTTGCAGAACAAATGGGAGCCAGCTGAAGTGGAGACAGCAGCAGAACTTTAAGGTGGCTAAGGCAGAGACGCAGTTTGTGTAAAGATCACCACATTGCGTTCAAGTAACTGTAAATATGTAGTATGGTTTGAGAGTGACAACAGCAGTTTAGAAAAGTAAGCGAGGGTCATGTCTGAAGAGCCTTGCAGGCCTTCCTAAAAAGGCTTAGATTTTTATCCTGAGGCATCCCTGAAAAAAAATTAGAAGCCAGAATTGCTCAGTGTACACTGTGGACTAGAAGAAGAGGGCAAGCCAATGGGACCAATTAGGAGGCTGTTGGAGTAACCCAGGAAATGATGGCCTAGGCTAGATTTGTCGTAAAGGGAATAGAGAGGAGTACATGAATTTGATATTAAGAAAGGGTCAACAGGACTTTCGATGAATGTAAGGCTCAAGAGTAAGGAGGCTTTCAGAACTTCCAGGTTTCAGATTTGAAGGCCATCTGAAACAGGGCAACTTGGATGGACCTGGAGAATTCTATGCTAAGTGAAATGTCAAACAGAGAAAGAGAAATGCCATGTGACTTCACTTACATGTAAAATCTAAAAAAACAAAATGAACAAAGCAGAAACAGACTCACAGATGCAGAAAACAAACTAAGGGTTGCCAAGTGGGAAGACTGGGTGAAAAGGGGGAGGGATTAAGAAGCTACAAAGTAGTCACATGGATGTATAGGAAATGCAGACAATAAAATTGTAATAACTGGTGCCAGGTGATACCAGAATAATGGGGGGGGTCCCTTTGTAAATTACATCACTGTAATTTGTAAATTACATCATTGTCATGCTGTAAACCTGAACAAATATAATACTGTCTGTCAACTGTAATGAAAAATAAAAGTACAAATCACTCCTGATTTTTAAAAATCAACTCTAAAGAAACGATACGTGGAACAAAAAGCACTAAAAAGTCATGCTTGGGAGTCTAGATGCAAAAAGTAGAGGATCGGGGCTTAAACCCTTTCAGGTTTACCTAGGTTACACTATCAAATATAGAATAAGATTTTAGTGGCATTATCCTTGGTAGTTAACGATAGAAAACAACTACTCAGGACAATCATCATGGAAAAAGCAAGTGAGAAGTCCCAAAATTTAACTTTGCCAGTTACTTCAGTTATGTGAGGTAATGTCTTAAATTCCAAAGGCTCTGAGCATGGTAGGGACCAAATGTTAGAAGTAAAGTAGGGCTTACATCTTACTTTTTTCACTGTAAAATGAAAGGAATTATTTCAATAGGTTTTGAACTATAAATGAGATTTTATGTGTCAATGAATACATATAAACAAAACAGCTCTTCAATGTTCATGCAATATAAAGATGAGCAGAGAACAAAGTAGGGACAGAAATGGAATAAGACTGAACAAAGAGGAATTCCAACACTAAAGCCAAGGAGAGTCTTTTGTGTTCTATAATATATAGCAGCAATTTTCCACCTCTTTCATTTCATGGCACATATAAACTAATTACTAAAACTCTGCAGCACACCAAAAAATATGTTTTTGCTGATCTGACAAAAATAAGTATAATTTTGATTCACACCAAGTGGCTACTGTTGTGTTTGCTGTTGTCATTTTTGTACTTGACAATCAAAGGGAGAATAGGTCAATGTCCCTGACCAGTCCGGTATTGCATGTTTTACAACTCTTATGCCCTGGCTTGTGCACCTCAGTGGACTGCAAACCAAGAGGATGCCAGTTCCATTCCCAATTAGGGCATGTGCCTGGGTTGCAGGCCAGTCACCAGTTGGGGGTGTGTGAGAAGCAACCAACCGATCACTGTCTCTCTCTAAAAAAAAAAAAGTTCTTGCGCTGCAGTGCTTGGGTTGAAAATCACTGCTCTACTGTGATTTTCATGTACATATTACTTTATTTACATTTAAATTAGAGCAGACTCCTGTTCTTTTTGGAACCTATGAGGGTAGGTGTTTGCAAATAAATACAAAGAACTGACAGTTACCTATGGACCTAAATTTTCGTAAGGTCCATAGGTAACTGTCAGTTCTTTGTATGAAAAAGAAAACACTTCCTAATATAAAGACCTGATGACCCTTTCTCTTTACTTAGAAGGAAACTTGCATATAGAGGCTTGACCTTTTAATTTGTAAATAATTATAGGCAATATTAACCAAATACCCTACAGTACCCTCTCTTCAAAAATCTTAAGCGATTGGTGTCCCATGTTTAGCTAGTTTCAGGTGAAAGGACTTGGAGGGTGGAAGGGGGAGGTGGGGTTGGTGCCTAGGTTCCAGGCATTACAGGGAGTCAAAGCACATTCTTCCACCTCTGGGGAGTTAGACACACAGCTTAAAGATCCACAATATTAGAACAAAACAACAGAGAAAAAAAATACCCTAAAAAGGAACCTAACTGAAACAGTCAACAAACGAGGAGATATTTGTACCAGTGATATTTGAAATCACTAATTCAAATTCCTCTTAGAAAGCCGATAAATAAAAAGGTACACAACACCCACAGAATAAAGAAAAAAACAGATGACTTACCAAAGAAATAACAGAAAAAGATGTTTAGTCTCATTAATATTGCAAATAAACACATGAACACATCCCTCTAGATTGGTAAAAATGTTCAGCACCCTGTGCTCGTCAGTGTTTGGAGAAAGGAGCAACCTCACCCTGGGTGTGTGGGTGGGTGGGTGGGTGGGGTGGAGAGGGGGTATCAAATTTTTCTAGAGCACAGTTTGTCGTTATGAATCAGAATTTAAATTGTGCCAATATTTCTAAACCATCATCTACTTCCAGGAATTATTCTAAGGAGACAAACTGGGTAAGAATGCAAACGAGTATACATACAAATAACCACTACCATGCTATTCTATGATGATGAAGGAACTGGAAAAATAAATGTCATTAGGGGACCGGTTAGATAATGTAAGTTACAGTGCAGCCATAGCAGGAAATTCCATGCATGCATTAAAAGTGGTAATACATATCTATATTTGACAGACATGTTCCTAAAATATTACTAAGACATAATCTGCTTTTTAAATGAATATGCTTTATTATGTTCAAAAATACAATTATATAAAAACACATTTTTAAGTCTAATCATGTAAATATATATCCATAATGAAGAGATCTGCAGTAAACCCAAGTGTGAAATTTTTTGGCTCACGGAATTTCTAGTTCCATTCTTTTTTATACATACCTAATACTGCTGATAATGAGACTGTGTGATTTTTAAAATCGGAGGGAAGGTTATTTTCATTCTATGGTAGGACGGTGTGGTTGAATTTCACACTTCATCAAAACAAAGAATCTCTCACACGGTTACACCCATTAGTTCACTAATGTGTCACTAGAGGGTGAGAAGTCTTTGGTCTGTTCACAGAAAGACCGCACTCGGCACCACCTGGTCCACGCCAGGTTTCGCCTCTCTGCGACACTCGCGGCCTCAGGGGAGGCCAGCTCTCTCGCTGCGTCCGTCCACCTGGGCCCTGGCCCGTCCACCTCGCTAAGCCCCGGCCACGCTGACTTAGGGGGCTCGGTCGCCTAAGACTGGAGCGGCACCGCAACACGCACTTGAGGAAGCCGCGTACCTGGGCGGTCCTAACGTCCCAGGTTGGGTCCCCGCGCCAGGGGATCGGTACCCCGGCAGGTGGTACTCAGCCCCAACCTCTCCCCATCAGCCGGGCAGCCCTCGGGGCCCGGCTCCACCGCTCTCACCCTACCTTGTTTACCCGCCCCACGCAGAAACGATCGCCACCGAGTCCTGCAGTCCAGCAAGCGCCCGTTAGGGTTCTGCAGCTTGCGCAGGCGTACTCTCCACGCAGCGCAGAGGCCGCCGTGGTTTAAACCACAGGAACCAACGGGCGCCCTCGGGCCCGCCCTCCAGACCTTCTATTGGTCCTTAGGGTAAACGCCTTCCACTTCTACATTATGATTGGTTTACATTTTTCCTGGCCGGCTCATCATTCAGGAAGGAGTTCGAGATTTGCGACACAGATTGGGAAACGTCCTAGTCCCGCGTCATCTGAGCGCGAACCAGGAACCGTTGCATTGTCGCCCTGCCAACTAGACGCTGAGTGCGGGGACTCTCAAGCTTCCGTTAACCACGAGGTAGCTTAGCTTTTAGCTGGGTGGTCTTAGCGCTCCGCCCACTTCAAGACTTCAGTCTTCACGTTTCCCGACTCTGCGCGGCTGCGGGATCAGTGGCGTCGGATGATTCTCCGAGCGGTGGGAGTTGCGACCCCGATCCCGCCTCTGCGCCTCGGCCCGTCCACCCGAGTCTGACACGCGGGCTCTGTATGAAGGCTCGGACGCGCGTGGGGGCCCTTCAGTGGCTGACATGCTCTGACAGAGTGCTGTGTCTCCAGTCCCACTATCGCTACTCTCAAACCGAGCTCCTTGCTCGAACGACAACTCACCTGTGGTGTTCAGCGGAATGTTCCTTCCTGTGCCTTCGCTTAGTCTTAATCTTAAAATTTTTATATGAACCCGAGAAAAAAATGTCGAATGCTTTAGGATTGCTGAGGATGAGACTTAGAAAAAGAGTGGAGGTCCTCCTAAAACTCGATGGCCTAGTCGCTGCCCAGAACAGCTTTTCCTCACACAAATAGGCAGATGCTGGTTGACTAATTTATACTTTTTCTTAAATCCAGGATTTAATGAGAGAGAGTTGTTTGATCATTTTCCTTTCAATACTTCACTTTACCTCTTATTCCCCGTTTGTCTCAGAGCCTTTGCATTGCCTCTAGGGCATTTGGGGTTTGTTGGAGGAAAGAAACAGAAAAGAGAAAACGACGGAAGTCGGTTGCGAAGATTTGAATGGCCCTGCCCCTAAGTCTCCAATGTGCTAACTACTGTAGTGCGCACAGTCTTTTCTTTCCAAGTGAACAAATATCCCATGATCAGATTTGATCGTCTATACCTGCATGATTTTTCTTCAGCATTGAATCTCCAGCCAGTTTGTCTTAGGAATTGGAGTAAACAGTCAATTTTCTTACCTATATTGCTTTGATCATTGAACATACTCCTCACACTCTCCCCATTAGTTTTTGTTAGGTTTCGTGTTAGAATATGATCTTTGAAAACCTCTAATCAAAAATAACTTGTCATATTTCAAGTGGTATCTTGTGTTCAACTGAATCATTGTTTTTGGTGGATTACTTCATCTTCCGACTTTACCTAGAACTGATTTAATAATTTTCATGGTTCCTTGAAATCCCCCAACCCACATCAAGAAATCTTAATCAAGGCCATCTACAATGCAGTATATGGAAGAAAACTTGCAAACCAAATTGCTCCTTTAAAAAATCATTAAAGAAAATTTCAAGCATATAAAAATTGTATATCATGAAGCCCATGAAGCCCCAGGAACTGAATGCCTGGCGGCAACAATTAACCCATGACCAGCCTTGTTCCTTCTGTATTATCCATGTACTTTCCTCTTGTATCATTTTGAAATAAATACCAAGCATCTGAAATCTATAAATATTTTAGTACGATTTCTTTTTAAAGGACCTTTTAAAGCATAACCACAGTACAATGACCATACCTAAAATATTTAATGTACTTCCTTAATATCATCCAATGGTATGTTTTCTACTTCTAATTTTTTTCTTTGCCTCTTTGAACCAGGGTCCTGTCAAGTTCATGTGTTGTGACTGGCTAAGATGTCTTTTAAGTTTCTTTTATTCTATAAGTTCTTCCTCCATTTTTGCCCTATCAGTTCATTCATTGAGGAGAGCTATATTTCTGTTCCTATGGAGTTTCCCATAATTTGGATCTTTCTGATTATATCTAAGTGATGGAATTTAGCATAGTTTACTTACCTCTCTTTTTGTAACACAGCTATCTTTCAGACATTACCCTAATTATGTCTAGCTGGTTTACTAACCCATCAGCATCTTTATCTATGCCTTAAAATACTACTTTCCACTGGTTATGTCACACTTAAGTTAAGCACTCCTTTATGATATCTGTGCTTACCTCACCCCTTTGTTGACATTTTCAAAGTTCTTCAAATGTAGTCCTTTCTTAGCTAACTAGTCCTACCTCTGACATTTTTCATTTTCCCCTCTTTATGCCTTCCTCAAACTGGGGAACAACCCAGGCATAAGGAAAAGCAAAATGAAAACAAACAGTTCTCCTTTGACACTGCTGCCCCCTCCTGCCAGCCTTTTTGTTCAACCTCCCTCCCCTATTATTGCTCAGTTCCCTAAACCTCTGATCCTGGATTCTGCCTTTATCAGCATATTCAAATCATACTCTTCAAAGGGCACCCATCTTAGTAGTCAGCTTGAGTTGTTTCGCTCAGTCCTTACTCTCTTTTACTTTTTGTTTAGGGTATTTGATGATTTATTCAGCAAATATTTGTTGAACGCTTAGGTACTGTGCCTTGGTGATTTGATGATGAATAAAAAGACACAATCCCTGCCCTTCTAAAACTTCCAGTCTGATAGAAGTTGACATTGGTCAGACAATCACAAATTATTGTAAAATTACGATCGTGTTCAGTGCTAAGGAGAGGCCAAGGGTCCCATGAAAGCATCTAATCATAGGGAGAATTGACTGTGTCGCTGAACCAAGAACTGAAGGATAAGTAGGCAAAAAGATGAGGGGAGAGATGGGGGGGTCAAAAGAGTTTTCCAGGCAGAGGGAAAAGCATATGCAAAAGCCAGTGGGAGTGGAAGCTTGGAGATTCAAGAAACTGAAATAAGACCAGCAAAGAGATAGAGGGTGGAGATGAGACCAGAGAGCCAGGCAAGGGCCAAATCATGTAGGTCATGTGGGCCCAGGGAAAAGATTTGATCCTATCCTGAGGACTCAAAATTCAAGTGACAATTGGGATGTGCTCTATGACATACTCAGGTTTGCAGTGAAAATTTCATTTTGGCTGCATGGAGCAGAATGGGTTTGAGAAGGGCAAGTCCAAGTGGAAGGCACATGCAGTGTGCCTGGCGGAAGATGGCGGTGGCTTAGGCTAGGATGCTAAATAGCAAGAGATGGCACAAAGGAAACAGGTGGAGGCGTTTAGTGGATAAAACCCTCAATGACTTGAATGTGCATTGGCCGGGGTTGATGTGTCAGAGACAGACAGGTCGTCAATTATCCATAGGTTCTGGTTGGTGTAGCTGGGTGCCATTTTCTGGAATGGGGAATACTGGAAGAAGACCATGTTTTGAGAGTCAGAGTTAGACTTTTGGGCCTGTTGAATTTGAGATGCCCTTGAGAAACCCAGGTGGAGATAAAATGAGGCCATTAGAAATGTGAGAGCGGAGGTGAGATGCCAGGTATGCAATATGGGTGGATGATGGTTCGGGTAATAGGTAAGAATGCAGTGTTCCTGAAAGGCAGAATGAACAAAGAAGGCAGCCTACCGTCTTCTGGAAACTCGCACCTGTCCAACTTTAGGTGACGACCCTGTCCTCTCCGCCTCCGACACTCAGCTGTTGCTGACCCCCAATGATCGGTCCTTTTCTTTCTCACATCAAATAGGTTAGTAGTTCTGTTGCTTCCAGTAACCATTTTAAGTGAGATCACTTCAAAATCTATATTTCAGATCCTTTCCTCTCTCCTGAGTTTTTAAATGTATCTTGGCTGCACGCTAGAATTTCTACGTGGCTCTATCTTTTCATCTTCCCAACTGCGACACACCTGAAATATGACCCAGCTTTTTTCTCTGGACTCACCCCTGTGATTTCCGTATTCCGATCAATGGCATCATGGCCCCAACAGTTAAGAAATGACCGTTCTGCACTCTTCCTGACCCCCATATACAATAGCTCATAATCAGTCAGTTCTGTCATTTGCTTCCTTGTAAGGTCCCATCTCCCATTTCCCTTTCACTACTGATCACTAGCTCAGCCCTAATTATGTTGTTCCTGCAATGTTTCAGCAACACATTTCATAAGATAGGAGGACATGGCATTAGATGGTAGGAGTGTAGGCTCTGGGGTCAAACTGTCGAGGTTCAAATTCTCACTCCTCCGTTCCCTAGGTTTTTGACTGGGGCAAGTTACGTAGCCCCTCTTTGATTCTGCTTTCTCACTTTTACAGTGGAGATGATAACCTGACTTTAGTCATATGGTCATTGTGGGAATTAAATGAGAAAATACATGTTAGCACAGCGTCTGCCAAAGAATAACTCAACTGCAGTACAGATATTGTATATGGATATCGTATATGTAGCTTCATTCTTTATTCTTACCCTTTTTTTAAAAAAGATTTTATTTATTTATTTTTAGAGAGAAGAAGAGAGGGAGAGAAACATCAGTGTGTGGTTGCCTCTCATGCACCCACTACTGGAGACCTGGCCTGCAACCCAGGCATGTGCCCTGAATGGGGATCGAACCATCATTCCTTTGGTTTGCACGCCAGCGCTCAGCCACTGAGCCACACCAGCCAGGCCTTCTTTACTCCTAGTAGACAAAAGGTTCCCTGTCTTCCGTTGTGGTTCTCTAGGCTCAGTCTTATCCTGCGCCTTGTTGCCTGATGAGTCTGCCTTTGGCTGCCAGGTCAGCAGAAAAGACACAATCATTAGCCTCACCCTGGCAGCACTTTGGTTTCAGTGGGGAAGAGGTATGTCATTGATCAGAGAGAAAAGTTTCTGTCGGAAAGGAAAGGTGAAGAAGTTACAGGCAGGGAGACCGCGCGGCGGTCACAGTAGCATCACCAATGAGGCCCAGGAGGGGAGCCTGGCGCAAGGGCAGGTTACAAATGCTGTAATCACAGCACTTCAGAGTCGCACCCTTCATAAATGGTCTGTCTCTGACTTGGATGCTGTCTTTCAGTCTCATTGTGGGAAGAGTTGAAGAGTTGAATTTTTGT